GCTCCGCGCCGACTGACAGGTACTACCAATCTTCTCAGCCGTCCACAGTGGACAGAGCTAAGAAAGAACGGACTCTGCTGCCGGATTCACAGTATTTCTAAGATCTTTAAGCTTCTGCCAATGAAACGCAACTTCTCCTGGTACTGAGATCTGAGCGAAATTACTCCCTCAAGGCTTCATTTAAAAATCCCAATAGCAATAGCTTTTTCTGCCTCTTTTCTCTCAATACAGGCAACCAAGGCCAGGAGACAGGGGATGGGTGTCAGGCGTTCTGATCTTTATTGCTCTTTGACCTCATTGCCTAAGATGGTTGTGCATGTACTGACTGGTCAACATGTCCCTATTCTGGCCAGCAAGAAGGAGGAAGGAAGGCTATACCCTAAACACTGAATATGTATTTTCCTTCAGAAATGAGGTTTATTAGGAAAAAGTACCTCAAGACCATGATTGGGCCCTGAGGAGAGAGAACACTGGACTTCTGTAGTACAATATGGGAGATACCACCGTAACCTTAAAGGGAAGGAGAGGCTTGCCTTCAAAATGAGAGAGAGAGAGAGAGAGAGAGAGAGAGAGAGAGAGAGAGAGAGAGAGCCCATGACAGGTGGCAAGGGGAGGCCAGAAGAGCCTCTTCAGCCTCTTGGGAAATTTGCCAGAAAAGTCTTCTAAGAAATCCCTAGAACAAAGGGAATATTAGACTTCTGTAAATTTTAGGGGTGGTGGGTAGTCAACATCAGCATAGAGTAAGTGACAAAGGGCATGGACAAGCCAGGTACTGAACCATAAATTAGGGGTTGTTATTAAGCCAATGCACAGATAGCTTCTTAACTTTCCATCAGAGAGAGAGAGAGAGAGAGAGAGTGCTGCAGGGGAACATGGCCTGATGTCTTCATGCTACAAGACTTGGCCTCGTAAAAGTCACCATGGTCTTAAAGAGGCAGGCCCATGTTCTAATAGGTAGTGTATCTGTTTGCTCAAGAAGCTATAACAAATTACCACAGACCAGATGGCTTTAACAACACAAATTTACTTTCTCAGTCTGGAGGCTAGAAGTCTAAGTCAGGCTGTTGACAGGACTGGCTACTCTGTGACCTTTCCTAGATAGCAGATGGCCACCCTCTTGCTATGTCCTCTTTTTCATGTGGCCATTCCTCTGTGCATATGGATCCCTGCTGTCTCCCTCTGTGCCCTAGTTGCCTTCTCTTACAAAGACACCAATCAGATTGAACTAGGACTTGCCCTTGTAGCCTCATGTCAGTTTAATTTCCTCTTTAAGACCTTCGTCACATTCTGAAGTACCATGCATAAGGTTTCAACATATGTGTTTAAGTAGCACAGAACTGGAAGAATAGATGCTGGAGAACGATTGAGAGTATGTTGCCACAGATCTTGCCAGCACCCACAAGTGGTTAAGGATCCATTCTTTGGAATCATCTGTCTTGTCTCTCCTTTTAAATGCAAGACTTCCCAATAGCAAGAGTCTTAAATTTGGGTGCTAATCTTTGTACCTAATGGCACTTAGGAGGCCTTCAGATGATCAGACAATCTGACTGAGCAGAAACTAGAGCTTGGGAGTCCTGATTCTTCTCCACCTGTTCTTCCCACCCTGCTAGGTCTGACAACCAGTGCACTACCCACCATATAAGAAGCTATAGCCACCGTACAGCTGGTACTCACTGTACAGTCTAGTTTGGCCTAGTACTTACTGTATAGCCCAAACTGACCTTGAACTCTGGATGCTCTTGCCTCAGCCTTCCTGAAGTGCTGTGACCACAAGTGTGAGGCTCCACACCCTGCTGAGTCAAACGTTTTCAGCTTAGCTTTTCCGTATCAGAGGGTACAAGCCCCTACAGCAGTCATCGCTGGCCCCAGTTTTGCATAACCTATAGCTAAGGCTTCTATGGGGACTCCAACAGACAACAAACTATTTTAAGCCATTGTAGCAAAGGTCACTTGGAGTCTTTCTAGATCGAGCAGCTGTAGCGTTGCCTTGTTTCCCACAGGCACTCTGCAGACACTTTAGAAGGCAAGAGTGGGCTGTCACAGGTCAAAGCTGACATGCCAGCCACAACTCTAAAGAAAGTTGAAAATTCATTGCCCTGACCACAGTAGCCTCTTGCCAGGGGCTTAGCCCACACACTGAATCTCATGCTCAGGCAAAGGTTGAAACAGATCCATTCTCTACTGTGTCTTTAACCAGCTTGCCAGTCAGAGGGAGATTTCCTCAGCAAAAAGACAAAAAAATAGTTCTCCTGGAGTATACTGAGAGCTTGGTCTTAAGATATCTTTCCCATTCACCCCAAGGTTGTAGGCTCCTTCACTCCTCTGTTGCAGGGCTTGGCCCCAGAGAGGCGTGAAGTTCACAGCCTAAGACACAGCCTCTTCTCCTAGTCCACCGTTTTTGCCTTGGTAGCAACCTGCTTACATGCAGCCCTTGGATGCCATACAATAGAACTTATAGTTTGCACTGGGCATTTGTGCATCTAAACAGACAATTATGCTCTGCTGTTTGCTAGTAGCACTGCCTCTCTGATGACTTTGGCAGATGGAGAAAGGAGCTAATCTGTAGGTTCTAAGCAGACAGGTTATTGATGAAATGTCACCATCTGTTGGTGTCATTAAAATATGAGTCATAAAAAGTTGTTTTTTTTTTTTTCTCCAAAAAAAAAAAGTTTGGATTTTAGAGAGAAGTTGTTGGATAGTGTATGACAGTGGGGGACAGATTAGGGAGAGAGGCTACCCAGAAAGGAGGAGGAGTTTAGTGAACTCATCAGAAGAGCTGATGGGTCGTCAGGGACGATGATCTTCTGCTGGATTAAACCCCTCTATTTTGTATAAGATGGGGTACTTTTGAAGAGTGATGTAGAACCTCGGCTCTCCATGCCCACTTCTGGGGTGTCTACTACTAGGTGGAAAAAGGAAAGTCGTTCTTTTGAGTTACACAAGGAAGACCATATTAGAAGAGAACTCTTTAAATTCACCCACCTCTTTAACTTTTATTGCCCCATTCTTTTAGCCCGACAGCACTGTGGGCCTATGAGCCCATGGGAGGTAGTTTCCTCTATATGTTACCTCTCCTCCAAGGATAAGGAGGTGGCTTGGATGAGGGATGGAGCCCCTAGGGTGGAGTAAAGACAACAGTGGATGAATCAGCAGTATCTAAGGCATGGGACTTTGAGGCATATGTTTGATGAGGATCCAGGTAATCAAAATACACTATGCCAACTTCCTAAATTTCCTTGTTTACCTAAATGCCCCCAATTCCCTTACATTTGTACTTCGCAGATTCTTACCCACCACCAAGGGTACATCCCAAAGGAGAAGAAACCTGTTTTGGATTTGGATCCTTTATCTTTTCTGTTTTTGTTTACAAATTTAAGTTCTGAAGGAGGTTGAAGGGCGGATGATTGTATAAACCACTACAAACCATTTGTCCATCTCTGGGGAGTGCCAATAAATAAAGTCAAGGCAGCACTGCTGAGAACCCCACACACCCGGCCCTAACCCCTATTTCAGTGCTTTATCCATTAAGCCATCTGGCCCTGCCTGTTCCACCCACAATCTTAAGGACACAGAACTGGAGGAGTTGCTGCTACTGTGTGTAAAGGGTGCCTGTGATACTGGAAGACTGCAAGGTCTTTTCTGTGGTGGCTAAAGGAAACCTCACTGCAGAAGCTTCTGTTGATATTTTTAGATGTGGCACTTTTTCCTGCTGCTTCACTTTCATATCTAAATGTGTGGGGTGATAAACTGCTCTGAGGGCCCATCTCAGGGACTAATGGTCGTCGTGCCTGGCAGATCTTCTTTTGTCTCTTCTGGCTCTGGGGCTTCAGACTGCAGCAGTGGTCACCAAAAACCAGTCTCTGGCTGACAGATCAGAGACTGAAGCACTTGCACCCTGGCTGTGAGACACTGGGCAGGGTCGAGCCCCTGCTGGCCTTTTGCCCTATTTTTCTGATTCCTGAGGCATGCGTTTGTACAATGTGCCTCTGACTACAAGTTTAGAATTCAACGATGTGATTAAGCAAGTTAAAAACACTCATGCAAAAATTGTTGAGTTTGTTCCTAGGTAGGTAGGAGGGAGCTCAGCCCTCTCAGAATTATCCCTGAATTATTTCTGAAGTGAGTTTCATGTGCCCGCTGATGAGCAGTCAGACGAAAGGGAGAAAGGGATTTTAATTTCCACCAGTTCGCCCTAAGGATTCTGAATCCCATGACACAGTCCTAGGGGAAAGAGAAGCAAGCTGGGGTGTCATGGGTCACCTCCACTTTGCTCATCCTTTTATTTCTGTTTTCCTTGATCACAGAATGTCATAGAACCCTTTATTCACAGTGGAGAGAAATGGGGTCCAAAGACGTGCATTTCCCAAGGACAGGACCATAGGACAGGACCTCCCTGTAGGGTCAGCTGGCCTGGAACTCTACCTTGGGATTAAAGGTGCATGCCACCACACTCAGATTTTCTTTAAGCCTTCTTACTTGTTTATTTCATTTTCGTGTGTATGAGTGTTTTGCCTGAATGTAAGTGCACCTGTGTGTGCACTGCCCTTGGAGGCCAGAAGAGGGGGTTGTATTCCCTGGAACTGAAGTTAAGGGTGGTTGTCGGCTGTCATGGAGGTGCCACATAGGAGCTGGAAACCAAATCTGCGTCCTTTGCATGAACAGTGCTCTTAACCACTAAGCCATCTCTCCAGCCCCATAAAGAGACTTTTTTTTTTAAGGTTAATAAGGTGAATCTGATGAAAATGCATCATATGCATGTATGGAATAGCTGAGGAATTCAAAGAACATTCTTCAGTGCACCTAGCTGGGTATGAGCTGTTTGTTCCTGGGCTCAGGCTGTGACGGATGGGTTCTCCTACAAAAAGCATGCCTGCGGGAAGAGCTGGGGTGAAAGTACTAGTGAGGTCTGGGCCTGCCTTCCCCTGCTCTGCGGCGTTGTCATGTGGACAGCATCATGCCCCTCATTTCCACCTGTTAATGCTGTTCCTCTCATTCTACAGCATGCCACAGAAACCACTGAAGAAGAGGACGACCAGCCCCTCAGCCTGGCCTGGCCATCCAACCCCCGAAAGCAGGTCACGTTCCTCATCGTTCTGCCCATTGTGTTTCCTCTCTGGGTCACCTTACCTGATGTTCGCAAACCTGTGAGTGAACCGTTTTGAAGCCATTGCCTTGACAGTGTGACAGCTATCACAGTCACTTGTGTGAAAATGAAAGCAGGGGCAGGGGGGGAGAACAGGACGGAGAGGTGGCTCAGCACTTAAGAGGACAGACTGTTCTTGCAGAAGACCTGTGTTCAGTTCCAAGCACTCACTTGGCAGTTAATAATCACATGTAATTCCAGTTCTAGGGGACCCAATGCCCTCTTTTGACCTCTGTAGGCATTGCACTACATGAGTGCATTTACATACATGCAAGCAAAACACATAAAATGAATTTTTTAAAAATTAAGGAAAATGGGAGGTGACATGGATACATGTGTACTCTCAGGTGTGCCTATAACATCAATCCAGTGTCATTGAACTGAGTTTTTGAGCCATTCATTTTTGCCCTAGAGGTTAAAAAAAAGAGGAAAGGACAAACAGTTCTGCTCTAATGAAGGTCCCACACACTGCACACACATGTGCATGTACACAAACACAGGCAGCAGAAGAATGTTCCTACTATGTATCAGAATTTGCATTAGATATTTTCAGCAAACTATATGGTGGGAACATCTATGGTAGGAAATGTGTATTGTTGGTCGAAGTAGAAAGAGAGGCGCAAAGTTAGCTAACTCACACCTGGTCCCTTTACAGAGACTGGAGTTAAGATGCTTACCCAGGTTTGTGTGACCACACGGCTTCCCTTCAGGTTTCATGACACTAGAAGATTGAAATCTGAAAAACAAATTTATATCATATTTATGTGAAGTAAAATATTATGGTAACATTCAGGATAATTTACTGAAAATCTTCAAGAAACCCCTGATGATCTTACTTCCCTTATTTTAGAAAAAAATAGGTGACAAATCCTATCCCATTAACCAGGACTGTGAGTCACCAAGTCTGGTTGAGGGCCACGTCTTATCCAGTAGACATCAGAAAAGGCCTCATGGAAGTACTGCCCACAGTACAGCTTCCCAGTAAGGGATGCATGCAACAGATGTGGCTCCCTGAAAGCCGTATTTAGGCTTTTTGGTGAAGATAGAACTCGGGTCTATGGTGGGCTGGCTTCCTGAAAACTACAGCAAAGTAGATGGCACTTTTTCCTTGGCTCACATTGCACTGGTGTTTCTGAGATGTAGTAATTACCCCCAGCAATGGTTAATATTAATTGTCAGCTATGCTGTGAGGGATTTATCTCCATTAGGTTAATTGAAGTAGAAAGGCCCACCCTAATGTGGGTGGCATCATCCCTTGGGCTAGGATCCCCCAGCTGAATAAAAGAAAACAATCTGAGCACAAACACTCATCTCTGCATGCTTCCTGAGTACAGATAGTGTGACCAGCCACCTCACACTCCTACTGCATGACGTACCCACCATGGCACCCTAACCATTAGCCAAAATAAACGCTGCCTTAAACTGCTTCTGTCAGATATTTCATCACAGCAATGGGAAAAGTAATTATAATCTTCTGTGTCTATGTCGTTTAGCCCAGAGTTTTTGTTTGCCCCGCAAAGGAAATTCAGGGAGAAAGATCTAGTTTCTAAATCCAGCATGGAGGAGCTGACTGGCTAATGAGATCAAAGGCTCCCAACCTGCAGCTCTTAGAAAACAAATAGAAACATTTCTCATGAGTGTCAGAGAGTAAACGATTTACTGTAACTCACAGTTTCAGAGAGTTCAGCTCATGGTTGCTTTGCCCATACATTGGGGCAGACATCAAGTTGGCTGGAGCATGTGGCACGGCTGTTCTTTACTTCTGGTGGATGGAGACCCACAGAGAAAATGTTCCTCTGGATTGCCCCTCCCCCACTCCTTTCAATGGATGGAAATCCAGGCATGTAGCCATGGGATGGTGTCATCCACATTCAGGATGGTCTTTTCCTTTCTATTAATCTTCTCTGAAAACATTTTCACAGACACACCCAAGGGTATGCCTCACCAGTCTTCTGGGTGATTCTAAGTGCAGTCAAAGTTCACAATGAATATTAACCATGGATCATGACAACCGTGACTGATGTTGTAATATGGAAAGGCACGAGATGAGAAAATGGAGCTATGTGCAGCACTCTGTGCAATATCATTGACCACGTAGCCTGCCCTTGAGGGCCAGGCTAGACTTTCTAACACTTCCTATAGCAGTTACTTTTCTCATTGCTGTGACAAACTACCTGACAAAAGCAGTTTAAAGGAATAGGATTTATTTTGGCTCATGTTTTAAAAAGGGATAAAATCCATCATGGTGGGGAAGGCATAGTGGGAGGGGACCAGGTCATACTACATCCACAATCAGGAAGAAGAGAGAGGTAAATGCTAGTATTCCACTCATTTTCTTTTTCTTATTCAATTCAGGTCCCAGCCCATGGGATGATGTCATGTATATTGGAGGGGGTCTTCCCTCCTCTTAAGGAAATGCCCTCAAAGATACACCCAGAGATTGGTCTGAGCTAGGTCTTCTATGCTACTCCAAATCCAGTCAAGTAGACAATGGAAATGAACACCTTCCTTCAGTCCCTAAGTGTCAGCCATAGGTGAAATGGATTCTTCTCTCTCTTTTTCTGGGTATCCAATGTGCCATTCCAAGTAGGAATGAGACTCTCAAGGGAACTTTTGGTTAGGGTTAGATTTCTCAGTAATATTTACTGAGCCCCAAGCATCACTTAGGCCCCTAAAGAATGTAACATATAAAAGTATAAGGAATATATAATATACGTAAAGAAGATAATGACACAAAGTCACAATTTCTATCCTTACGTTTAGAAGAGGAACCAACGCATGCTCATATATAACTACAAAGCAATATTTCACAGCAGTAGTAGTAAAAAGATATAAACAGGAACCTCAGTCTCCTAACTCCAGGGCATTTCATTGCACTGCATTGACTGCTGGTTTTTCGCCTGTCCTATGCTGAACAACCTTGGGAAATGCACTTCTCCAGATCCCATTTCTCTCCACTTCACAGCTGGTTCTAAGGCCCCTAGACTCCTTACCAATCATGACATTCGGTGTTGAGGAAAACATAAAGAAAGGAGCTTCAATACAATACTGCAAATTGAAGGTGACCATATACCCAAGATAGTTTCTGTTTACTCTGAAAACGTATTGCTTCATTAGATTTGATCTTATGTCAATTAACTTTTACTATGTAAGACTTAAAACAACAAGCATATTTCGCACATGATTCTGTGGACTGGCAGTTTAGGCTGGACAGTTTTGCTGAGAGCAGGTTGGCATATGAGTATCTCAACTGTAACAGCTTGTCTGTGCTCAACATAGTCCCTAAAAGTTAAGCAGTCTAGTTTGGTCCTCGTCACCGTGGCAAAGAGCCAAGTGCAGCAAGAATGAAACCTGAAAAAGCCTCTTGAGGTCTAGTTTGGAATTTGTACTCTGTGATTTATGAAGCATTCTATTGATTGAAATCATAAGAAGACAGAAAATGTAGAAAACTAGATCTCACCTCTTGATGGGAGGTGCAGAGAGTATGGTCAGCATTTTGATGCATACGCCTTATGGATTTCACAGACGCCACCCAAGGAAACACCTAGGGAGAAGAAACAGAGTATAAAAACCAACAAATAGGCATTTGCTACTCCTTAGGGCCAGACAGCACCACCCCTCCAGTAATTTATTAATTACTCATGATAATGGATAGCCCAGACCTCACCAATAATTGCAGTTTCGGAGTAAATATTACCCACTTGTTTTCATTCCTACATCATTTATATGCATATTCGATGGCAATGTTTACTGGATTGTGCATACTTTCAACTCAAATGGGAACTTCACATTCATAGTTTTCTTAACAACTTTGTTTGAAAAAGGAAAGGAGCTAAAGTCTAAACTTTGATGAAGAACATACCTTTGATGAAAGTTGAAAATAGTAAATGAAATTAAAATTCCCAACGTCATCTTCTCTCATGGCCTAAGATGAGTATTCTTACAAAGCAGAAAATCATCTAGTGA